CCCGCCCCCAACACGCTCTTGTGGGATGTTCCTTCCCCCCCAGCATCTCAGCGTTCACAAGATGTGCCTGGTACCTCGAGGTACCATGAAAAAATGCCATTTAAAGCTGTATCTGTGTCCGAATCGCTGATTCTCCGAATCAGAATTGAATCTTCAGATTCAGGTCAAACCAAAACTGGGACAGTAATCCGAATCAGCAAATTGAATCACTGTCCCCCAAATCGAGCCGAAATGAATACTGCCCACTTCACACACCCCTACAGTTCTGCACAGATCACACTCAAGAATTAAGATTTCATGAACAACACTGTATGTTCCATTTTCATGTGTGCACGCAATTAATTTGGACATCACAAAAATTTAAAAAAAAAGTTATACCAGTCATTTATGAAAGCCCGAAACCTAGGAAGAACAAATCCCAACAACTTGTTTAGTTCAGTAACCTAGCTGTGAAACCTAAAAGTGTGCGCATTAAACTGTCAACACTAAAACAGCAAAACAAAATAGAACTGGCACCATCTGAAATTCAAGTGTGAAGACTATATTTGGTATGAAAAAAAATAAAAGATCTACTAAGAAAAAAAAAAAAATCAGGTTGCCTGCAGCTGTTCTTTAATGGCATGCTGTACAAACCCATTCTCTGCAAGTCCTGTGAATTTACACACCAAAGCAATGATCCTTCATCAACTTTTGGTGTCTTACAAACCTTGGCAGGAGGGAGATTACAAGTAATACAACGTTTCACAGTGGTTAGAGACTTCATAACATACACAAACGTCAAACAAAAAACAGGGAAATCTGAACTTCACCGCCAACGTTTTACTTTGACCGGTTTGGCTTATGGTGAGAATTTACCTCTGAAAAAAAAAAATCTAAACTCACACTTGACAAGATGGCATCAAAATATTTCCTCAGTTGTCAGGGGTAGAGTTGCATTTTTCTCAACCGTGTAATGAAAATTAGGGTCCTTGTGATTTCTCTGGTCATATTGCACTGCTACAAAGGCCTTAGGTAAAAGTGATCCTATTTGTTTCCTGGTAGGCTGAATACTGTCATTTATACCAGTACACCCTTAAACTACTACAAAGACCAGTTATATCTGCCTCTACAATTAGATACATAAAACTTTCAACTCTAAGTCACCATAAATACCAGTAACAAGAACGGGATCATAAAACCAGCTTATCTGTATGTGGCATTTTTACCACAATAACCTCAACCAAATATTGACAATTCCTACAATAAGCAGCATCGGAATGTGTGAAATAATTGCATTAAAACTACAGGCATTGAAAACTATACTTTTTTTTCTTTTGATTCTTGATTGTTCCCCTCCCCTGAAGTTCCAACAAGTGAGCAAAAATCCCTTTATTTTCTTCAAAAGAATGAACCTTCCAAGCACCTCATCCTATAAATTGCAGAGCAAATTGCTTAAGACTTCTGTCCTCTGCAATTTGGCATATTTTAATCACAAAAGAGAAAAAAAGAAAAACAAAAAAGCCCCAAGCCATAAATTAATATGGGTTCATTATTTCTCAGAGTGTTTCTTTTCTCATTTGTAAGTATAATATTACTGTAACTCTGAGCAATTTTGAGAATTTCAACAACACTGATAAGGCTCTGTTTGCTCAGCTAAGAGAAAGTAAAATCCTGAGAAAGCGAGAATACCTTCCTTGCTCTGATGGGGAAAGAAAAGCAAAATTTTAATCCTGTAGATCTTAAGGGGGGAAAAAATATCACTCTACAGAAAACTAAACCAAAACGTGGTCTCAAAAGGAAATGCGAGCACGTTGTCTGTGTTTTAGAGTACTGCTGAAGTATATGAGCAAGATACTTCAACACTGCTTACTTCTGGAGAATGGCCAACTCAACAAGCTCTCCATGTCAGATGATTCAACTCCTCATACAAGCAATGCCTCTTTCCTGAAAAACATGGATTCTCTTCAGGGAATTATAAGAAAAAAAAAACAACTCTCGAGCAAGCCTCCTGAAGCTGCTGAAAACAATTTGTGGTTATATATTTTTTCCCAGATACCTCAACTCCTTGTTTTTCTGGCTCCTTTCAACTGCCTTTGAAAGCAATTTGTCATCTTTTGTACTTACCTGACACTAGAGAAATGCATAAGACCACAGGCAGCTGCTAATAAGCCTATTAAATAGTACAAATGTTACAAAATAAGATTAAGAAGAAATGACTTCGTACTGAAAGTAAAATTAGCTATCTGATACCAGGAGTCTTCAGCTATAAATAGGGCATAATTCTTACCTTTGTGCTTGGGTGCTATAGCTGTTATCATAGGAATCATAACTTTGCTCATCATAAGCAGTGCCATATCCATCATCATACTCCTGCAAGCATACAATAAAAAGATAATTTACAACACATTCTATAACCTGAAAGAAAAAATGATAAATACCAATACCACTATCCACTGATATCTAAATTTATGCAACAAAATGGTTTGAGGTTTTAATGGTATCCCTATTTTTACTCTTCTGGGTTATTAAACGCATTGTATTTTATGGTTACTTACCACAGAGAAACTGTGGTTCTTCAAAGGTCTACCTCTCTATATTAAGAGCTGAAGGACCCTTCCCCGCTCTGGCATCACAACATTTCAAGAGCCTTCTGAAAACCACTTCTACTTTGGAGCTTCTCTGGTACCAAACATTTGAACTTCAAACTATGGAAATGACCAAACAATCCTAAATACCTTAGTCTTTGCCACTACATTCACGACCACTCTAAGTGTCAGACAGTCCAGTAACAGAGCCAACACCCTTAAAAAACCATGGTTCTTTTATTAAGCAGGCATTTTACTTCTTTAAAATAGCCTCCAAATATTCTTGCTCGTTTGAGTCTAGTGAACAGCAAAACACTTTGGAAGGTAAGCTGGATTCTAATTAAACAAAGGATTGGAAAACTGTCCACCCAAAAGAAACATCAGATCTACACGATAAAAATCAAGAGAGCAGAGCCGCAGAGATAAATGGGGTGTGGGGTGGGGGGATAACAAAAGCTACATGTGTGATATAATCTTTCCCTGGTAAAGTGAATTCTAGGTCTGTACAGAACCGATGCTAGCTAACTTTCACCACAATACAATGTAAAACTTCATCCATCTTTAACAAGTACCAACTAAAAACTGCATTCCCTTTGCTTTGATGCCCCAGAGGTTAGGAATCGATAGCTTTCTAAAGGCTTATTCTATCTAAATAGCTCAAAGGCCTTACTTGGTTCTTAGGGTATCCAGTATAGTTTCCCCAAGAGAAAAAAATAAAGCTTTGAGAAGACACATAGGAGACGGATGATCTGATTATATGCAATCCAGATACCTCACTCAGTATAAAATTTGGAGTAAAGATAGAGAATAACTCATTCACTCTCCTATAGATGCAACTGCAGTTAAAATGCTACTGATAGAGATAAATGGAGCAAAGAAACCTTTCAAAAGACCTGAAAGCACACATTAATCCTGTCAACACAACGTTAAAGTTAGTAGTATAGGTTCTCTAATGGCTGGAAAACACCATATCCACAAGAGGAATTTGCTGATGATAGGAAGCTGAAAACCCATCCAGGAGATGATAAACTAAGGGTATAGGCAGAATACCAGGAAGGGCTAAATGCAATATTCCAAAAATCAATTAGGTGGGGATGGCACTTGGTGACCGAATATCTGATTCCCATAGACAGAACATTTTCTGAAGATAATGGTTCCAAACAAATGGCTTTCTAGACTGTAGCAGAATAATATTCTGTATCAGAAGTGGTCAAGCAAGATCCTTTCAGCTGAATAATGGATGAAAAGTGATTCTACACAAGTGGAACAGATGGCATATCTGATGAGGCATGTAGCAGTGGCAGGGTCCCAGGAGATCTAGGGGGATTCATGTACCCATACCATCTAGCTCGCACTAGAGCAGGCAGCATAATCTAAATCTGTTTTCCTGAAACTTTCTTGACTACCATTGATATTAGTGGAAAGGCATAAAAGGAATCCCTTGGCCGAGCCGAGTGGGACTGTGTCTATGACAGCATTTCCCTTTTACCTATGAAGCAGAAGCAAGGGTGCTTCACAGCACCGCTTGCTGTGAAGCAATCTATGACGAGATGGGCCTGATCCTCCAACAGCAGGTTCAGAGTCTCTTTCAAGGTCCACTTGAATTGTTCCTGCAAGACTGAGCAGTCTGCTAGATGCTCTCTTTCCTTGTCAGATGACATGGGCTGCCTTTAATGTGCTGAACACCAATCCCAGAGGGCAACTGCGTCCCGACAGTTACGGCAGACAAGAGCCTAACGATTTACTGATGCAGTATGCAGGCATCTGGTACCAACATGACCATTGACCAATGGCAGAAGAGACTTCAGAGCCACACTAATAGCTCTTCTGCAGAATATAAATAGTGTCTGATCTCCCCCAGATCCCACAGCATCAGCGGTCAGGTCCTGGTGACATGCTCCCAAACCCCAAAATATTTGCTTAATGTGATGAGCCAAAATACTAAGGAGAGAGGACTGAAATGAACTTTCTTCATTACACGATCAGGGGACTTTTTACTATTGGAGGGTCACAGTAAGTTTTGGAAAGCTAATAGAGAGATCTCACACCTGACCCAGAATAGGAAGGCAGGGAAAGAAAGAATAATCTTGAAAGAAAGAAAAGGGCAGCAGGCCAAGATAACATGCATCTCAGACCTCCTATGGCAAATCAAATAAGCCACAAAGTGGGACATGGTACAGGGGAGAGTATGGCTTTGTCTCTACAACAAGGAAGACCAAATGTGGGGTTAGTTCACCTTAATCTCTCTCCATCAAACAATAACCAACAAAACTTGGTTCAATATGCTTCTAGTATTATCATTTCTTACAGGCTATATTGTTATATCAATTTTGGCAGTCAGCAAAGAAATTACAAAAGGACTTAAGCGATACACTTTCCTTTCCAAGTTTCAACATTCGGTACTTTTCCATTGTGTGGCTTTCTTTTTTATTGGTAGCTTTACCACCTCTCTGGTTAATGATACCAGACTTATTTAATTTTCATAATCTTCTTAAGTAAATCAGCCACCAGTTCATTTATAATCCATTATTTAAATGTATCGACCTACTTTATCTTCACAACAAAGTAACAGGATAACCCATTCAACCAAAACAAAAGGAACAGATTCAAGGTAAACTATGAAGTCACATGCCCTCTCTTTCTCTGGTCTAATACATCCTTATTATATGAAGACAGGAAAATAATAATATACGCAGAATAGTAAAATACTCAAATCCAAACTTCTTCTCCCCCCACCCTGACAGATTCCCCTTAAAAAGAAACCAAACATGGCCAGTTTAAGTATGTTTTAAATTTTTCCTACAATTAAGTTTGGCATCTTATGTTGTTATTTTCTCTATATTTGGAAACTATTCAAATGCTGCATGTTTAATGCGACTTGGCCAGTGTTGCATGTAACCCTCTAGTTTAAATTTTAGATAAATCTCCATAATTTGAATACTTAGGGAAATTAGCCTGCAATTTATTTCTGAAATGAACTTGTAGTTCTCCAGAATGTCTTTTTTAACATTGTTTATAAAGCATCAATGGGCAGTACACATTTGGCCATCTAATAACCTGCATTATTCTAAAATATTGTAATCATTTAAATGAACATAAGTAACTAACTATTGTGCTAGATTACATAGTAGAAATCTGATGCTAGTTAACTATGCTAGTGAAGTATTTGTTTAAAGAGTTTCAGTGTATTACTTTTCCATTGTATAAAAATCTTTTTTTTTTTTCTTCTTTTTTTGTGTGGGGTGGGAAGGGAAGGGAAGGGAAAATTCCTCAGAACCAAAGATGAAGCCATTTTAAATTTTCCTTGTTCAAGTTGCAACATCCTCCTTTTAAACCAGGAAAGAAGATGCATGACTTCTACGGGGAAGCAATCCAACTCCAGAAATGAGTTACAAGTTTATTAGAGAAGCACCAGTTGCTTCCAACCTACCAAAGGTTAAGGACCAAGAAGAGGCTCGTCTTTTATCTTCTGCATGATAGCTCATTCTGTTGCCAGGAGTTTACCAGGCTAAGCTATATAAATTATTCTTCCCAGAATCATTTGTATAAAACAGAGAAGAATTTGAAGTGCGCTGCATACAATATACAAAATAATCCACATCTATAAATGATACAAATCACTTTACGAAATGAAGTGTATTTTGGATAACACTTGAACCATAAATTGGAAAGGGGCAGTTTTTAGATTTCCCTCTATAGGAATTATATATGGATTATTTTAGAATTCCTAGATGGGAAATCTTGTTTAAAGGGATTAGACAGTTTTCATATAAAATGTCTCTGAAACACGCTTACTATGCTTTTCCTCGCCTCACTGAGGCAGACTCCTTAGACAAGAAGAAAGATTTGTAACACTGGTGGACAGTTCTTGGAGGGTGAAGAGAGCCAAAAGGACGGGGCATAGTGGCATTACTAACAAGTGTCCCAGTGCAAAGTGTAGGAATTTGCAGTAGGATGAGGCAAATCAGCTAGGGTAGAAGCAAGAATATTCTTGGAAAGGCAAGAGCCCTGAAGGGCAGGAGCACCCATTGCCCTTAATGAAAGGATCTTATTATTTTAAGCTAGAGAGTACTTCAAGCCACTTTCAAACTATTAAGATTATAGGCCAGCATCTAAAGCCAACTGGAGTCCTATCACTATGAGTGCTTGCATACAGACTGTAGGTGCCTACTTAGAGAGCTCATATTTCTGTTTTTTCTGTACTGAACCTAACACACTCCTGGCAGGTGCGCAAGATTTTTCCCCCAACTGATTTATGAAAATGTGAAAAATGCTTTCTTTTCTGGTGTAAATCAGAAAGCCAAGAATGGATGATTGAGAAATAACACCGAGTTGTAGATGTATTAAAATAAATGAATCACCCCTGAGATCAAAAGACCATGATCTCAAGTCCTGTCTTCTTGCATAACCCTCTGAATTTATACCCACTTCCACAGGGTCACCTGCCAATTTAGTGAGTGACTCCATGTGTGGCAGTTTTAGACCTGCTGCAGACTCAATGCTCAGCATTGCCATCGAGGGATCTGCTAGAACTACCATGTTGCTGGTGGGAGTAGGGAACAACGAGGTTCAGAACTAGCCATTTCCAAGCCTCTTTGCTGGCCTAAACTCATTTTGAGCTGAACAGCATAAGCGTAGAGCTGAAAATGGCATTGTTGCCTACGGTGTTTGTCTAAAGACAGACACACGACTGGCGATTAGCACTGAGTGAATACAGGATTCTTCAGTCTAGAGACAGGCAAAAAAATTAGAAAGAAAAAGGTTCGGATTACAGTGAAATCTACT